TAGTAAAATGTGTACAAGTTATGTCACAATAACAACAGATGCAAGTAATCTTAGGCTACTCATCAGAATGATATCCTCCACTGGATCTAGCTGCGCAACGCATCGCGTTGTGTTCTTCTTCTGAGGTAAATTCTGAGGTTATTCCTCTCAGTGCGTCGTCTTCTAGAAACAAAAAGCAACCGGGATGAACTCTTCACGTTTGTTTATGGAGGCGGTGTGGGCGTTTACATGCACGCACATCTCATGTGAATGTTTATAATTTGAAAAGCGCGATCGGCACATGGGCGTGACCGCATTAGAGATAATGAGTCGAAACGGGAAAAACTGGACATTGCCTTGGTTTCATATGGATTACTTTTACAGAGAGTATTTGTTTTGGACGTGACTTCATTTAAAAGTAGACATTTCAAGCTTTCTATACATACAGTATATTTCTCATGTCTTTGAGGCAAGTATTCGCAGAGATTCAGGTTGTTTTATTTACGTGTCTGTGAAGAGAGGTGACAGAGACCAAGACGGCAGAGAGCGCACCCTGTTTATTTTCTTTATTTTACAAAAGCACATTGTTTTGTTGTTATTATTACCATAAACAAATAAAAGTAGACCCTTTGCAGTTTCTGTACGATCAAAAATTATAGATTATTTTTTGTTCTTTTCGCGGTCATCAAGAAAATACGAGACAGACTGCACCAGTGCGGGCTTCGACCCCAGAGGGTTAAAATACAAAAAAAGTGCTCTGACTAGATGCAGTAATCGCTGACTATCGGCCATACCTGATCTGCTCCTGTGACATGTAGCTGTAGTGCAGGTTGAGTCGGACGATGTGCTCCTCCTGCAGCTCCTCGATGGAGGCGTGATCTCCAGACGTCTGCTGCAGCTCCGGGTCCAGCTCCTGCACCAGACTCCTCTGATCGGGCGGAAGCCACAACACCTACCAGAAAACACCTCTTCAGCCATCCTTTCTTCATTAACGGGAACGGTGAAATGCCATGAGGTTATTATAATTATTATGGCCAGTGTTGGGGAAAGTTACTTTTAAAAGTAATGCATTAAAATATTGCATTACTCCCTAAAAAAGTAACTAAGTTACTTTTTATGGAAAGTAATGCGTTACGTTACTTTTGAGTTACTTTTTAAATCTGGGCTGGGCTTGCTTGTTTGTTTTTAATATAAAAAATTTATTTTACAAATGTAAAAGCCCTCTCACAACAAAAGTAAAATGAATGCGCCTCAGGCTGAAGGAAATGTAAATTCACGTTTGTACAGTAGAGGGCGCAGCTCAAACAAATTGCATGAAGAATATGACGCAGGAGAAGAATAACAAAAATCAAACACAAATGTATCATTTTTGCTCAGTATGGTTGAATTGGATCATTAAATATAATAATAAATAATATTTATTATATTCAATTATTCTATAATATTCTAAGTTTGCATTTGACTGTTTTTATTCATTTTGAGGAATACTGAATGTGTTTTTGTGCAGGTGAGATGAGTAAATGCATGTTCTCATTTAGTCTAGAACAGGGGTGTCCAAACTTTTTTCACAGGGGGCCAGGTGCAAAAAAATGTGTGTCGTCTTGGGCCGCATGGCTGTAAAAAAAAAAAAACTACTATTAGACAAGCTAATTGATTATTGCCATTAATTTGTCTTTGTCTGCTTATATGTTAAATATGCTATTGTCTAAAAATGTTATGTGTGCGCTAAATATATATTTTTATATGCCCCATGATATTATATATTTTTTTAACCTAAGAATCATTACAATGTATTGCTTTCAATATTTTTTTACTCACCATTATTAACTTATTAATGTGAAGAGTGATGTTGTGCCTTGGATTTCAGAATTGATGTCAAGTCAGGAGGAACAAATGCAAAACTACCTGGCTGGAGTTAATGGAGGACTCGTTGTGAATGACCTCCAGCGTGCGCGTGATCCACGAGTCTCTGTATGGATGTCCTCGAGGGGGACGTCTCAGGTCAAAGATCACCAGCCTCTCGTGCTGAGCAGCCAGATTCAATAAGTCCTTCAGGCTGGGGACCGTCTGGTTCTGGACCCGAACCCTCTCGTCTGCATCAAGAGACGAGACCGTGCCGAAAGGATCCCTCTGTGAGAGAGAGAGAGAGAGAGAGAGAGAGAGAGAGAGAGAGAGAGATAATTTTTAATTTTAACAAAACTTTTATTACAAAAAAACCCTCCTATAAACAACAACACTCCTACAACACAGTAAAATATATATATGTGACAATGGACCACAAAACCAGTCATAAGGGTCAATTTTTCAAAATTGAGATTTATAATCACCTGAAAGCTGAATAAATAAGCTTTCCATTGATGTATGGTTTGTTAGGATAGGACAATATTTGGCTGAGATACAATTTTGACCCATACAATGTATTGTTGGCTATTGCTACAAATATACCCCAGCGACTTAAGACTGCTGTTGTGCTGCAGGCTCACATATACATATTATACAAAAAAAAAATCACAATGTAAAGATCAATTCACCCTCAGAAACAGAGCACAGAGCCTCATTACAACACCATAAAATCAACCATAACTCTTGATTTCACCAGATTAGAAACACAGCTACTATGTTCTGATTTACATTTTGTTCTATTTTCTTTTTCCCGCTTGTATAAATGGCCAGTTTTGCTTGGCCTAAAACAAAATTCAGAGGTTGACAAACAAATATTTTTTCCCTCACATATTTGAACCCCAAAATAAACATCTCCATAGAAAAGGTCTCATTACAACTCCTAAAAACATTACTTACAACTAGAAATAAAGGTTGCAATCTACAACAGTTTGTAAAAGCATGAAAGATGGTTTCTCTATTAGAGCAAAAAGGACATATAGAAGCAACCTCAGGGTTTAAAACTGAAATAAAAGCATTAACCGCGACAGCACTCTTGGTCAGCGGTGGTTTATATAAGGATCTCCACTCAGGTTTTGTGCTTTCATCCAGTTTAAAAAAAATAAAATCATGCCAGGGAGTATCAACTTTTCCATTTAAAACCTTTTTGCTAAAAACCAAAACACAAGACCTGTACAAAGATGCAGTAATGTGTCTTGATTTTTTTTAATTACAGTTAAAATAATAAAATTAATTATGCTAATAAAAATAAATATTTTACAGTACAGTTGTAATTATGTCTTAATTTTTATAATCATAGTTAAAAATAAATATAATAATAATATAAATGAATAAAAAAATTACAGTAAAATTTTAGATTACAACAGTAATATATTTCTTGATTTTATAATTATAGTTTAATAATAATAATAATAATAGTTATCATAAAATTTTTGAAAAATCTCAAGGGAAACGTAACAATACGGTTCCATTAGTTAATGTATTAACTAACATGAACGAACAATGAACAGTACATTTATTACAGTATTTATTAATATTTCTTAATGTTAGTTAATGAGAATACAGTTGTTCACCATAAAGTTCATGCATTAACTAATGTTAACAAGCACAACTGTTGATTTTAATAATGCATTAGTAAATGTTGAAATTAACATTAACTAAGATTAATAAATGCTGAAGAACTATTGTTCATTCTTAGTTCATTAACTAAAGTAGTTAGCTAATGTTAACTAATGAACCTTATTGTAAAGTGTTACCGAAACTTCAAGTAAATATTTTAGGTCTAAGGTTTTCGGCTGATAAAACCCTCAGAACCCCTGTAACACGTCAAGCCTTCTGACAACATTTGTATAGATCCTTTATAAGATCCAATATTTTAGGAGCTCAAAGATAACACACAGTGAACCTTTCAACTACAATTCACAAGCATACTATAACACACAACATATTATAATAACCAGCTTTAAAGTAAAACAAATACAAATAGTAATTATCCTTTCTCTAAAATTAAACGACAAAAATCAATTTTTAACCAATTACTAGGCGCAAATACAACACGTCAAATAGCCAATAAATTATTAACAAAAACACTTAATGGAATAGCATATTATTGTTCTTACTCTTTCTTCAATTTTCTCTATGCATCGAATAGCCTTTTAAATTTGCTAAAATGTGCATCAGAGCACATGGCATTGAATCCTGCATCCACAATGCATTGCACACATTCACAGTCATTTGTAATGATTTAGTTTTTTAAATTCATGACTCATTACTTGATCATACTACAAAAGGATACTATTTTATATTTTATTAGTGCTGTCAAACGATTAATTGCATCCAAAATAAAAGTTTTTGTTTGCATAATATGTGTGTGCACATTATTATGTATATAAATATACACATACAGTATATATTTTGAAAATATTTACATGCATATATTTATATTCATATAATTCATTATATATATAAACATATTTAATATATAAACGTAACATATTTTTCTTAAATATACACATGAGTAGGTGAGTATTTATATTAGTGCTGTCAAACGATTAATCGCGATTAATCGCATCCCAAATAAAAGTTTTTGTTTACATAATATATGTGTGTGTACTGTGTATATTTACTGTGTATATATAAATACACACACACACATGCATGCATGTACATATTTCAGAAAAATAGGTTATGTTTATATATTAAATATATGTACATATAATATACATTTTATGAATATAAATATTTTCTAAATATATACATGCAAGTGTGTGTCTTTACATATACATAATAAATATACACAGTGCACACACATATAATATGTAAACAAAAACTTTTATTTTGGATGCTTTGACAGCACTATATTTTATATTAATTTATATCGTTTTTTTATTTAAAAAAATTCACTACAAATGCAAACTAGGCAAGAAGGTAACTGGATGCCACTTGAAAGCAGGCAGTACTCAGTACTGAATAATGCACATAGCCATCAATATTTTCATGTAGCTGCTAGTGAACAGGACCCTGAGGTTGTGGATCATTACCTGAAGAAACCAGGATCCGGCGCTGAGCATCTCCAGCTCTGGCCAGGTGAACATGGCTGCTGGCGCGTCCGTCCGGTTGGGAAACACCTGTTGAATGTTAGTCGTCCTCCTCAGGGTGCGGTCATGCATCAGGAACGGGACGCCGTCATAACTGCAGAGAGGAGCATCGTGTGAATGTTTATGCAGCTGTTTCTGCATGCTATGAAATCCAATTCAGTTTGATTTTTACTTTCAGAACATGAAACAATTATGATTTTATAGTATTTAATTAAGAACAAAGCAAACAAAACAGTAACTCCAAGTCAATTTTTTTGCTGTTATTTTTGTATTTATAAACTTTATTAATATTTTGAATTTGTTTTTGTTTTTAATATTCTCATTAGTTTTCTTTGTTTTTTTTATATTAATCTTATTTTTATTTCAGTTTTAGCAATTTTAGTACTTCACGTCACTATTTTACTATTTTATATTTTAACTATTTTACGTTATTACGATTTTGACTTCTTCCAAAATATGAAAAAAAATATGATTTTATGTTATTTAATTAGAGAAAAAGGCAAACAAACAAATATCACTCTAAGTAATTTTTTATTGGTGTTATTTTTGTATTTATATACAATTACAGTTTTTATTATTATTTTGAATTTGTTTTTATTTTTTATTTTCATTTTACTTTTTATGTGCTTCTGTCATTTTATTAGTTTTTTTTATATATTTATATTTATTTTTTTATTTATATTACTATTTTATACTGTTTCAATTAATTATTTTTTATTTATTATCACTAGGATTGTGTGTCATTGCTGTGCTTGGCCAAGTTTTTGCTTTATTTATAGATTTGATATTTGTATATTTGTGTGTGTGTGTTTGTGATTTATGAGGACACAAATTTGTATAATGACATGGGCATGACATATGTATTACAACGAGAAGGTGATTTATGAGGACATTTTGAGTGTCCCCATATTTCAAAAGGCTTATAAATCATACAGAATGAGTTTTTTTGAAAATCTAAAATGCAAGTTTCCTGTGAGGGGTAGGTTTAGGGG